GAAAACTGTACCGTGTTGGAAAAGATAAACTTTTCGTCTCCGCTCGCTCGTGTCGGCCGTTATCTGCATTCTTTTAATTTCAACATTTTCAATTTACGTACCGTACGTACTGGATGGATTCCGCATACAGTATCGTATGTTACGTACYGTACAGGSATGGAACTCCATTCCATGGGTCATACCGTACGGTACGGTACTGAAATGTACGATACCCGTTAAGGGAACGGTAGGTACGGTAGGGTATTTGTAACAGTACGATAAGTTATCGTKCGGTAATTGCTGTACTGTACGTTTTCCTCATCATAATGGGAGTTCTTGTACTACTAGTTGGCAGGCAATAATTCCTCACGGTGCAGTAAGCAACGGTACAGTAAGTAAGCACGCGTACTGTACGAAAGTGAAATCTGGCTAAAGAATCAATCACGCTGCTTTAAACTCGTTCATGTCGAAATTGCTTGGAAGTGCTCTGTTTTTTCTGCTGAAATATAAATCCAGCTGAACGGTCGGTGAGAATCGAAGGACGAACCAAGACATTCTAATACCCCAAACATCATTGCTTTGTTGCAAAAAGCGAAAGAACTCTGGTTGTTAGTAGCGTGTCGTTTTTCTTACAACTTCAAGATCCCCAAGTACTTTTTTCGAGCATGGCGGCCCCAATAAAAATGGACGAACTGCTGGTGTCTTGGCTGGGTAGTGACGATGTGTATGAGAATGTATTGAAACTCATCGAAAAATACGACGAGGAAAGTAAGGTTACCGGGGATCAAAGCCCAGATAGTATTCCGAACAAATTTGTGCCGTCCAAATATCCTGCGAAATYAGAGTCTTCATCGACGACTGCTAGACAGCCCATTCCACCATTTTATCCTTTGAAAACATCTAGCGGGATTACGCTCCAGCGTAGAAGGAGACTTCCCCGACAGTCTGAAACGTGGGATCCRCTACTGGACGAGAGCAGAAACGGATCCCTTTCGAAGTCAAATGCGACAAAAAATTCTGAAGGAAAGAAGACACCGAACAGTGTGACAGGGCACGCAGCTGGACACGAAGAAGAAAACTCGTCTTCTGTGGATCCAGCTAGCAACATTTGTGTCCGTGATCAAATTTACAAATTGTTGAACGAGCTGCAAATTTTACCACAAGGGATTTTGGGCAACGATTCGTCCAATGCTGATAATGCTGTTTCAATTGGACTCGATGTTTTCGTCCGAATCACAAAGGAGATATGCCACTTCCCTTCATTTTTYAACGGCCCGCTTTACCAGCGCATAATGCAGCTTTGGAATATAGATCATCCTCACGAGAACATCACAACTGTGACCTTATCTACCATAGAATGGTACTGGAAAAAAGAGATGGAACCTTTTGATGCATCAGAGCGCTTTTTCCGTCTTGTCAAACAACCAGATGAAGATTGCATTCTTCGAGATGATTTTCTGCCCTATATAAAAGCTCTGCTCAATGACCATCCTGTACGTGCAAGATTTGCTACCTTTTGGCTCGCGCAGATAAAACAAATCAATCTGTGATTTCTTGCGCTCTCTCTCACTCTCCCACACATGTATTATTTGCTCGTTCTTACTTGCATTTCGTAGGGTTTAGAATTTCTGTCTAATCATGCCGAGTTTCAGGAGAAGTATGCTGTCACGGTCATTACTCGCATATTTTACTCGGTGAACAAGTGTCATTCAGGGMGAATCACATCCCGTCAGGTTCGTCGATCTGATCTTCTAGATTCGTTCTCACAAGTAGACGAAGAAGAAGATATCAACAAAGTGACAAGGTACTTTAGTTATGAACATTTTTATGTTTTGTACTGTCGCTTTTGGGAGCTCGATCACGACAGGGACTACCGTATTACACGTCAGGACTTGCTGAAATACGGAGATTGCTCTCTTTCCCATATGATCGTGGATCGAATATTTGATTCCGCACCAAGACCTTTTGAACAGGATAAAGTTGATAGAGAACATTTGTCCTATGAGGAATTTATTTACTTCATGTTGTCTGGTAAGAACAAAGAGGAGWTGATGTTATAATTGGTATAACACCACGGATTTCTCTGTCTTGTGGCTTTATTGAAATTCGCTCGCTCATTTTCYGATTCTATACAATTTTGTTGTTGATCAACATTTAGAGGAAGACAAGTCGAATGAGGTATCGGTTCGATATTGGTTTAACTGTGTTGATGTTGACGGCGATGGGAAGCTAAATAACATGGAAATGAGGTCGTTCTATGCTGTTCAGCTCCATCGAATGCAATGCATGGGACACGAAATTGTTCCATTTGAGGATATGCTATGTCAGATGATGGATATGATAAAACCGAAGAATTCAGATCATCTCATCGTGGAAGACTTTTTACAAGCGGAATGCTCACAGGTCTCTGGTGCTTTATTCGATGCTCTATTCAATCTCAACAAATATCTGCTTTTCGAACAACGGGATCCGTTTGTTGAAAGGCAGAAACGCGAAGATGAATTCGAGACGGATTGGGACAGATTTGCCTGCATTGACTATAATAGACTTGCAATGGAAGAGGAAGCCAGGGAAGAAGAGGCAATGGAAATAGATTGGGTCACGGTTGACGACGACGAAGAGGAGGAACCTCAATTCAACGGGGCCATCACATCCGAAGCACCTTTTTGACAAAGTTTGATTCTTGACAAAGAAAATGGCCGAAGCGTACGGTACTTCACCCATTGAGTCATTTTCTGTGCGAACCTTTGTCGAATAGATCAAATGCAGTTTAAAAAAGTAGCTTTTATCAACAGATCGTGATACAATTTTTAAAGATCGTCGTTGATACGGAAAATTTCGTGTCACCTCGTGATGCTATATTTGAAGTCGCAGGTCCCTATGAAAGTCCAAWTTGTCACTCCTTTTCCATAAAAGTAGCTCTATTAYCACAAGAAGAGTTTAATCATGCACGACATTTTTAKACTGATAMKCCAATTGTCGTTTTGTCACCGAGTGAGGTATTGCCGCGTGTTAACAGTGATCARAGAAAAATTGTCACGATGGTGCAGGCCAACGATATTGGTTCAGAGTAAAAAGTTAATGAATAAATTGAATCAGCATTATTTTAGAAAAGTTATCTRAAAGAGATCAACTGTGGACAGGTCTATCTATTCTATTTAAACACCGCCCCCACGTCCGAAGCCTCCACCTCGTGCGTTGTCACGGAAGGCCGGTCTGCCACCATCAGCAAACTTGTCTTCTTCACGATCACGTCCCTCAGGTCGCTTGTTCGTCTGCTTGTGGGTAGCAGGAACAATCTCGGCGGGAAGAGCGAGGTACGAACGCAAGTAATCGATACCTTCATCAGTCAGGTAGCAATAGTTGTATTGCCAAGAGAAGGTAACACGGACGTAGTTCTTGGATGCAAGAGATTTCATCAAGCAAAGAACTTCCAAGTTGTTGGGTCCTTCAATATGAGGGTGCTTTTCGGACTTGGTGTCCTTCTTGACAACACAAACTCCCTCTTGGAAGAGATACGAGTAGACAGCAATGCGGTTTTCCTTGGGGATGAACATGATTGTTGATGTTTGTAGAAGACTATGCTCGTCGTATTTATTTTAGAGGTCCTGAAACACGAAAAGGGGACTAAGTAATATGAACRAAGWGTTGTGAATCTACAAGTTGTTTGGTTTCGGAAGTTGCGGGCAAGCTTTTATCGTCTCCGCCTTCACATTTTGCCTTTTAGTAAAGCGGTACCAGTATTTTAGAAAAATAGCTAAAGCTTATCCCCTTCCTGGAGGACGTTCATTCACGAGTCAGTCCTGGAAATATTTGAGATAAAAAAATAAATCCAGGCAATTTCTCCCCGCCCCCCGTATGTAGGTAGTTCTGCGCCCCWAAAGCCAGAGTTTTACTTGCACTAAGTACATTTTTACAGTATTATTTAGGGAGTTCAGGGAGTTCTTTAAAATTCCAACGGATGTCGAAAAAACCTTCTCGTGTCATGCCTTCAATGCAAGATTGACTTAACTGTACTTCAGGTTTCTCATCTACCCTACTTCTAGTACGAAATCTGAAGGTTTAGGGAAGAGAAGGCCATGTTCGATCAGCATATCTGAGAATACCTCGACAATAAAACAACGAACAAAAATGACAGACAATGGAGTCGTTTCGAATTACCCGGATGCACCACAGTCGCAACGGAAAGAGATCTATACATATCAAGCCCCCTGGCAAATATTTGCGTTGTCTTGGAGTCGAAGGTAGGCGCCTCGTAGWGTAATTCATGAACAAGGTCGACTAGAATCAAGCTTTGAAATGTTTCATCTTTAACTCATTCATTGGTTTCCATATTATTTCTACAGACCCGACCCGTCTTCGCAATTCAGATTGGCCATAGGCTCTTACCTCGAACAATACTCCAACGTTGTTTCTATAATAAAAAAGAATTCTGCAAAGGACGATAATGGGACATTATACCAGGCTGCYGAATTCGATCATCCCTATCCATGTACAAAGATTATGTGGTCACCAGACACGAGGCACGGAGCGAAGGACTTACTAGCAACCACAGGCGATTATTTGCGTATTTGGAATGTCAATGAAGATGGATCTGGCAGAGGAACTGTCAACGTCAAAAAGGAAGGTCTGTTGAATAATAATAAAAGTAGCGAATATTGTGCGCCATTAACCTCTTTCGACTGGAACGAAACAGATCCAAGCATTATCGGAACATCTTCGATCGATACCACGTGCACAATATGGGATGTCAACACTCAGCAAGCAAGAACACAATTGATCGCTCACGATAGGGAGGTATTTGATTTAGCATTCGCGAGAGGAAAAGATGTTTTCGCCTCTGTAGGCGCGGATGGATCTGTTCGCATGTTCGACCTACGAAGCCTTGTCAATTCAACTATAATCTATGAATCACCAGATCTTGAGCCATTGCTCAGATTGGAATGGAACAAACAGGTAAAACTATTTGATCGACAAACACCTTGTATTGACTGTTATATCTATTATTTCGGCTTTACTCACGGCACTTACCTGACTGTCGCTCTCATGTTCAGGACCCCAATTATATGGCTACATTCATGGTAGACTCGAGACGAACTGTCATATTAGATATTCGAGTACCCTCTTTACCTGTGGCTGAACTTGGGGGTCACTTGGGATGTGTGAATGCACTAGCTTGGGCACCACATTCGTCGTGTCATATATGTACAGCAGGTGATGATTCGCAAGCTCTAATCTGGGATCTGAGTGCAATGCCGAAACGTCCTGTCGATGATCCTATCCTAGCTTATAATGCAGATGGCGAAATCAACAATTTACAGTGGAGTTCAAGCCAACCTGACTGGGTATCAATCGCGTTTAATGAAAAACTCCAGATCCGTAAGTACACAAGTATCCGTTGTGTTTAAATCGATTGCGTCTAGATTTGTGTCTAATGGAAACTTCCCATCAATGAATCACGTCACTTCGTGTAATAAAGTGAGGGTCTGATTCTTTTCACTACGATATGAAGTGAGAACCAAAAAGCACTACGTCACCTGTCTCAGGAAGAACCAACCTGAGCTTCTGCTTCTGTACCGGCCCGTATTCATCCGGGATTCACCACTAGTGTCAGCCAAGAGACATTGTTTATATCGAAATCCCTTCCTGGAATCTGTAGACTTTGAGGCATGGAGCTTGTTTTGTGCTGAGAAGAACGATCGGACACCAAGGAAGAAGCGTCCACRGGTACAGCGTATCTGAGTGAGATGCGTGCAAAGGAGAGATAGCTGCCWGCGTTATCTTGCTCATTGTGAACATTTGTAAATGGAWTGGTCCTTGTTGAATAAAAAAGTACGAAGACAATCCGAAAGAGGCACACAGTGCTACTATAGTAGCTGTTGTGATGATGGCGTTCATATCTTCGTTTTTGAAAAGTATTAAATTATAGATTTCATTATAAACTTCCTGATGAATCAGTATTCACAATGCGCCTCACATAAGATTCGGCAGTCTCGCGTACAAAATGATAGGGTCTTGGACAAAACGACGGAGGTTACAGCATCTTAATATCTACATGCCAAGATCTCGATCATCATCATTTCTATCTGACACGAAATCATTAGCCCAACTTGTGTTGTCGTCAAATTGATCTCCCAAAAAAGGGTCTTCAATACCACCTTCATCAAAAGTCTTTTCTTCGCCATCCACTACCACCAAACGGGGGCCATCGATTGGAACTCCAGGATATGGTATCTCGACGGGAACTGTTCTCCCCAAGCCACGCTCTTCTCGAAGACGTCGTTCAAAGTAACGACGACGTTCACAATTCTGACAGAAAAGTATGATTCCGTCCAAATAATACGAAGCAACGTTGGAATCGCTCGCGGTTGACTCACTTCCTCGACTAACTTTTTGTAGTCGCTCGAACGTTGGATTCTTTTCTTGACGAACTTTCCTCAGTTCTTCAACGATGTCATCGCATAAAGCATCAGCTACCAGAGAGCGTTCGGGAACTAGGGGAAGATCAACTATTTGTTGTCGGATCGCATCCTTATCCGTGAAAGCCATGCTAACATTTGCACCGACCATGAGAGACAGTATACCATCAAATACAAACCATATGGAGCGACTAATAAATCCTCTAGGTCGAGGGAAGTCGTTCTGACTCCCATTTCCAGCTCTATAAAATGGATTGTTGCTGGTTTTGTTTGTAAATTTTGTCGGATCACTGAGTTGATATGAGGACGTACTTCCTCGTGTGTTTGACGATGAAAGTGGCGAAGATGCCACGTGTTGACTCTGGTTTCGTCGTTGAATCCATCGACCAATATATTTTGGACCACGTCTGAGGATGATAAAGCTCGCAACACTTGCTGCAATGCCTTCCTTCACACCCATGCCCGTCAAATTGGACAGAATTCTTTTTTCTTCCTCGCCAAATTTGATGGTGTCGTCGCGAGCAGTGATCGCATTGACTGTAAAATCATCATTTGATCCATTAATTGTTGTGTTTTGCTCATTTATCTGGAGCTGACGAGACAGGTGTTCCAATTTCGCCGTCGCAACATTTTGGAAACGCTGAAAGAGAACCTGCTCCTCCCTCCGTTCCTTCATCTGCTGCTGCATTTTTTGTTGACTACGGTCGGCCATGATTTCGATTCGATGTATCGATAAGAGAGAAGTGTTCTTTCTTCGAGTAGCGGTTGTATCTTTGCTAAAATCTCTACGACGATGACGATGACGATGACGATGACGATGGCGATGACGATGGCGATGACCAGATACAATTGTGATAGTGGTATCAGTCACACATGTTTCATTTTTTGTGCGATGCTGAAACCTTTTTTTTTCTCTTTCTGCATAGTACTGTAAAAAGCCTGTACTAGACAGCACTAAAATGATACTGTACTAGAACTACTACTAATAGTGTGCTACCGAATCACCCTACTTTTTAATTTTTTCCATCTCTGCAACTAAACATGAAATATAAGCCAAGTTTTTGGCAGGATTCATCTTAACACATAAATGAGAATAGTCTTCCCTCMAATGATGCTTTATATTTTTAGCTGCTGTTTGGTGGTCCCACCAGTTGTTCTTGTTCTTGTTCTTGTTCTTGTTCTTCTTGTCATCATTTTGACTGGTGGTGTCGTGATGGTGCCTGCTGCTGCTGCTGCACTTGTTGTTCTTCTTATCCACATGATGCTCCTTTCAATCAACTGATAGTTGAACCCTCAAGCTCTGATGAAAATAAACTAATGGCCTGAACAGTATGGGAGTACCACAAATCCAATACAAAACTGGCCTATTGAGGATTTATCATCCTAATACTAGTAGCACTATGATTTAGTCAGTTAGTACCAGCAGGAGTATGCTACTAGTACTAGCTACTAACCTAGTTTTAGGAGGTGTTGAGGTTAGGAGCTTGAAGAATCCTTACTTGTTGGTCATGATGCTTTCAACAAAACTCCTCAGAGGAAAGTGCCTCCCCTCAGACGAGGAGCAACTACTACTGCTGGTAGAATTAACATTAATGGTCTTCTGGCTGATGAGGACATAACGCTTCTGCTAGCCTAGTAGGTCATGAGTTTAAATATAACATTACTACCAGTAAAGTTTCTTATTCCACCACTAGTCTGTCAGTATGAAATACTGGTGCTGATGCTGTCACCACATCAAATCACCTGGTCAATCCAACAAGAATTTGTTGCTGTCTCTTTGTGCTCTTAGCTAGGTGACAGTAAAGATAATGTCTGCAAAAAGTTGTGTTCAAATCTGATGTCTAGTTTGAGATGTAGAGTGGCTACTAGTTGCTCTACTCCCGGGCCCTGCCTGTAATGGTTGTTTGTTGAAGGAAAAATTGAAGTTGTTGATGCATTATAATGTGGGGATTTACAAGGGAGCTGGTGGCCTGAATTCAAAATTAATTTCCCCCCTTGTCATTCAAAATCTCAAAAAACCAGTTGGGACAGTTTCCTTAATGGTTCACACAAAAAATAGGAATTGTATATTGGGAACAACAGCTACTATTACCCTTACAAAAGGCAAGCAATACCAACACAAATACTACTACTACTAGTAGTAGTGGTATGATTAGTAGTAGTATGGTTCTACTCCTTTTTGTAATAGTACTAGTATGCTGCTTCTTTGAAGATAAAACATTGGAAGCAAGAAAACAACCCTTTAGTGATGCACCCCAAATACTGTTTGGGGGAAACTACTAGCACTGGGAGAAAGAACAAAAGGGAAGTAATTGGATTGGTACTAGTATTTGTTGCTAA